GGACTATTGCCCAATTCAACTATCATTGGACAGATGCTATTTAAGATATAAACCTAAAACCCAAAGAAAAGCAGACATTATTTAATTATGAGTCATATCTCCCCCCTCCCTCCAAAGACCAAAGTCTCAAATCCAAGCTATCTTCCTTTTCATATGGCCATATGGCCATAGGAAGAAGTACTCAGATGCGGAGTGTGTTTATGATATCTGTCTGCATATCCTGGGCAGATAATTCTTTAGCAAATGGAAGAAGGGGTATATGAAATTCACAGAGATTAACTAGACATGCTGAACAAATGGACTACCAACGTACTCTAGAAATGCATTTTATTTTCCTTGGCTTTCCACCTATTTTGCTCTAACCAAATGAAATATTTTGGAAGAAAATATTACTTCAAAAAACCAAAAATTTACTTTAAAAGGAATAGTATTTGAAATAAATTAATCCTTTAAACATTTTTCTACTTCTAAAATGATTTCAGTCTGACAATTCACAGATTTCTGAAGTTAGCCTTTTTAAACTGAATCTTCACCCAGGCATCCATACATTAAAGTGACTGTAAAAATATATTTAGAATTTGGTGGGGTTTAATTCAAGTGAAATTCATAAAATATACAATGAACCATTTTAAAATATACAATTCAGTGGCAATCATTGAGTTTCTGATGCTATGGAATAATCACCCTTCCCTAGTTTCAAACCTTTTTCATCACCTACCAGAAAAATGCTCTGTATTTTAATCACTCCTCATTCCCCTGTCTCACTATCCCTTGGCAGTCACTGAGCACTTTCTATCTCTATGGAGTCTAGGTATCTCAGATAGGAATAATGAAGTACTTGTGCTGCTTTGTAATTGGTAATTATTATTAATTCATTTATTTCAAGCATGAAAGATGTGATGTTTATTACAATTCTGGCTCCATATAAATGAAAGATTTTAATTTGTACACCATGATCTATTTTGCATTTTTGTCACTTCTGTACACCTATCTTGTCTTTCATGCAATACTTCCAGAATAACAGTTATGACAATGAATTATAAAAGATTAAAGTTCAGAGGAAAAACTTTATAGAACATTTTTTTAAAGGCTCCCAGTTTCCAAGAGAATATAAAGACACACAACTACTCTGAAGTTACTTATTACCACTAAATGGTAATATAAAATGGATATTTACAATATTTACTAAAAATAAAGTCACAAAAATATTAAAGTAAATTGTGGAAACTTTGCAACCATAAATCAATCATAGAATCCATATTAAAATTTTTTTAAATTGTCAATAGAATCAATTTCTGAGTTCCTATAGAAAGGATTCTGAATCTTTTCTCACTTTAAAAAAAAACAAAAGTTTTATTTTATCTTAAAATTAGACAAAGACTATAGATTAATTTTAAAATATTAAGATTTATAATGATAATCTTCTTAAGGCATAAACTGCTAAATTCTAAAACACATATTTTTTTAAAAAAGAATGAAAACAAAAGAGTGCTGTCATTGAAAAGGCTAACATACAGTCCAGGTGGCATAAACCTGAACTCAAGCTGATTTTTTCACAAAATACATTAATGACACTTTCACACTTATACCCTAAAATACTGGCAGTCACATAATAAGTCTGTAGAGAAAATAAGTTGTGTACAAATTTTTTTTTAAAAAAATGGACTGAAGCATAAACATGTAAACAAGAAATTGTATATGTATATTTTCTATTTGAGAAAATATCAGCCCATGAACTAACAAATATATTAGAAAGGTCAGCTCACATACTATACAAATTATCTTTTTTTCTCAAGCATTAGTAATTCATGATTTTGTAAGTTTGGTATAGGGCCAAGTAAAATCCCACTGAAAACAAAAAACAAACAAACAAAAAAAACAAAGATAAAATGTAAGAAAACAGAAATGTAATGTTGCCTTGAGACTTTCAAGAACTTGCCCTAGGAGTGATGTATATAGACATTTTTTCAATATAGCAAAATTGTTCCAAAATGGTAGAGATAGGATTATGAAGGAAAATATTATATCCATAATAGCATCTTACTTGTGTTTTCCTAGATGCAAAGGTTGAAATTAAAATTAGTAAGTTACATGATAGTAAAAACCATTCTATCTTGTTCATTTTTATTCCTGATGACAAGTACTATATTAGTAGTATTAATAGTACTATTTCTGACCCTGATGATGACTGGACATTGATTTGTTTAAAAAAACTGTAGAAAAATTTGGAATAGACTTCAATAATCTTAAATTTTTACTTTATACTTCATATTGTTGTTATTTTACTTCAGGAAAGTTATTCTCACAAAATAAATTGGCCCCAGCAAAATTATGCAAGATTTAGATTCAAGGATTTCCATGGCATCAATATTTATGATAATGAAAATGTGAAATCAGCAATATAAAATAAATCATATATGATATTACATGATATATGAATTAAACTTAAAATGAAGCATTAAATATCTACTAAAATTATTTTATCAGAAATTTTTTAAAGAATATATTTTTTTCTTTAACTTTTTTTTGTTTTTTTGTTTGTTTGTTTGTTTTTTGTTGTTGTTGTTGTTGTTGTTTTATGTGGTGCTGAGGATCAAACCCAGGGCCTCGCACGCACTAGGCAAGTGCTCTACCTCTGAGTCACAACCCCAGCCCAATTTTATCAGAAATTTTTAAGATGAGAAAAAGTTTATAATATGCTATTACATAAAAAAGGTGTACAACAGGATGTACAAATTTATTATTTTTATTTAAAGATTTATATATTGTGACTGGTTAAATGATGGTATCAGAATTATAGGTGATTTTTATTTTTTATTTAATTTTTTTATATTTTCCACCTACCTATAATAAATAGGTATTATATTTATAATTAATATCTTTTATATACAGGGATGTGGTGTGTGTATGTGTAATTTCAAAACATATGCAGTTGAACTTTCACAAATATCATGCTAAAGCATATTCCTTCAAATTCGTAAGAAAATGAGAAAATGGGATACACATTAAATTTTAATTATGTGGATTTAAACCAACATCATTTGTAAATCTAAAATTCTTTATATCATTATACGTACATTTAGAGATGAAACTTTTGGTTTTATATTGTTCCAAATATTTAGCACCCTCGCCTTCCTACCATATTAATTTTGAACCATAAGGACAATTAGCTACCTTTGAAATCTGTCTGAATCTCTGCCCTATACTCCTAACCTTCCCCTTCTACTCCAATTTGTATACGAATATAGGAGAAAACATATTCTTATTATGAAAATTCAATTTTTGCTCCTCCCTCAACCAACTCAAGCTAATTACACACACAGACACATAAACACACACACACATACACACAAACACACATATACACACAGATTTATTTATGAACTAGAATCATCTAACATAACCCACCCAAATATTATTTAAAGATGACCTATTTAAACGGAGCCATAATAAAAGACAATACCTAACCCACTAATGTTTTCTAAGATGGTAGAAAAAATACATAAATTTGTTGTAACTATACATGTTAATACATGTAAGACAATAAGTAGAAACTTATTGTAGAGAATGGAAAAAAGACCATGGTGCTCAAATGAAAAAGTTAAGTCTACTTATAAAAGAGAAAAGAAAATAATAAAGGGAAGAGCTTATTTTAGTGAGACACACAAAATCTCCTAACAGTATTCCTTATTCTTTCTTGCATAACTTTTCTGTTATTATCAGCTTTGTGATCAAAATAGTTCCAGAAAAGACATGTCTAATAACTTCTTCAATAATTTTAAGATCGTAATTTTTATTTTTATTATCTTCCCATATTTCCTTTTAATTAAATGAAAATGCTTCAGAAAAATCAAACACTATACCATCTCCCACTTTAAAAAAAAAAAAAAGAAATGTTTTAGCTGATTTAACAAAAAGCTATTTCTGTTGCTCTAGATATACCAGTCCAAGATACTTTAGTTTAAACTATAATATTTTCAACCAAAATTCAAAGTCTAGACTAGGGGAATCTAAATACTTTTCTAATATTCATGAAACTTCAAGTTAAGTAAACATCAACATTAAGGATAATAAAACTGAATAAATATACTAAAATGTTCTAACAACTGAAAAATAATAAAAAGTGAGGACTTACATTTGCAAAACTCTTCTAATATGGATATAGCATAAAATGTTATTGAACTTTTATCTTTTGATCAGAAAATGAACAAAAGAAAGATCACGTAATGTGAAATTACCTAGCATATTCAAGAAATTTACTATATGTCTCCCCAATATTTGGTTTTCTCTGTTGACAAAGAAAATCTCCAGTATCCTTATATTTCAGAGCAATATTTAAAATCTAATCATTATTATGATATTCATGCCAAATTTCATTTTTGTGGAGGAGAATTCCAGGGATTGATCTCAGGGGCACTCAAGCTCTGAGCCATATCCTCAGCACTTTTCTGTATTTTATTAGAGTCAAGATTTCACTGAGTTGCTTAGCACCTCACTTTTGCTGAGGCTGGCTTTAAACTCGGGATCCTCGTGCCTCAGCCTCCCAAACCACTGGGATTACAGGCTGCGCCACCGCACCCAGAAAGCCCCAAATTTCCTTAAGATTGAAAGTAGGTAAGAATATATAAAGTTACTTTTATCTTAAGTAGTAGCTTTGTACAGCACAACATTTATTTCTCTTAAAAATCTTGACAATTTATAGTCATTTTAAAATATAGAGCAAAAATCATAACCTGAGTTTTAGAATAATTATTAAGGAAAAAAATAGTGTCTTCATAAAATCTGTCAATAATTACGCAAAACTTAATTTTAATAGAGAAGGCACTATGAAGATCATTCAAAATTGAATTTCAATTAGCTAAAATTAATAACAATGAGAACAATGATGGTTAAATTACAATTATGCTCTAGGAAAAACTTGGCTTACAAAAACCTAACATATCATATTTTAAAAACAATATAATATTCCATAAAGAAAAATTAATTTATTGACTACATACTGAAAGTTGTCCAGATAAGAACTGTGGAACATCCCTCAACATTCCAGGGCTCATGGGAGAGGTAACGGAAATAGAAGGCCGATCCATTTTTTGAGATTCAAATGAGCTAGAACCTGAAATGATACATAAGGAATAATAAAAATGGCTCCTCTTACTTTTTAAGAATCTTTAGGATATATTGTTGAAATGTCATTTTATGTTACAAATAAACTTATAGGTTTTGCTTTTGCATATAAAAATATACTTATTCTGTTATGTGCACTATATTCATATCTTACAATAAGATAATAAAATGTTCATAATAGAAATGGAAAAATAATCAAAACATCAATTAATAAAGCAACTTATAGAGAGTCTAAACTTTAAATGCTAAGAAAATAAGTACCAGACTATCCCAGAATTATTAAATGTTTCCAGTAGGTGATATTTAAACTATCTCTTGAAGAATCTAATAAATTACACTGACAGAAAGGAAAAGCCAGTCTCCACAGTGACTTATAAAACATGCAATTCTGCTGCCCTTTTCTCCAATTCTGGTATCCTCTTTCTACCATTCTCCCCCTTGCTTATTCCAATTAGTCACAATGGCCTTGTTAAGTTTCCTTAAATGCACCTTAGGCTTTCCTGCCATACAGCCAATGCTATGTCTGGTTTCTGAACCTGAAAAAATTTTCCCTCCGGTAACCACTCTTTCAAATTTTTGCTTCAATCTTTTTCCTCAATTTGGTCTACCTGATTGATGTATCTAAAATTGCAACTGTCCTCCTCTCTCCCAGTATGCCATAATCAATCAAGAACCTTATTTCCTCGGGAAAAAATTCATATGTTGAACATTAACAACACTCATAAATAAGAAATAAAAAGTACACATTTGAAATTATGTAAATTTGTATATTTATTGTCCCAATACTGCTTTATTGCTGAAACAGAAAAATTATTCTGTTTTCCACAAATGTAGATTAGAATCAATGTAATTATTCACTAGTTTTTCCCAAACATTCTTCTTCTATTTACTGAGAGTGAGTCTACAAGAGTAATTTTAAAATTGAGGAAAATGTTGGGGATGAAACAGTTGGGAGCAATGGGTATATTTATGATTTTTTTAGTGTGAAAATGGATTCATAGATACATATGTATGCCAAAAGTTCCTAATTGTACACCTTCATTCAATCAGTTTATTGTGATACACCTTAATAAAGCTATCTAAAATCCACATTAAAGACAGTCTAATTAAAAATAATCTTATTATAAAATTCTATACTTTTCCTCACAGTGATATGAATGATACTAAATTTTCTATCTTCATATGATTGTATACTTGATAACAATGCCATTATATTTTTTACTTTGTATTAATAGACAAAATACTTTATCTGACCTTGATAAGTGACATTATTAATAACATTTCTTCTAGTATAAATAAAACTTACTGGACTCCAATTGTGCATGTGTGCTATCAGGTATTCTAGGTATATCTCTGAAATGATAGAAAAAGAAAACAACTGTTTCAATAATTAATGTAATGGCTATATTAATCATTATCTACTTATATAATAATTGGACACTGTAAAACAAAGAAAAACCTGTGTGTTGTTGAGTTATTATATAAATAAGAAATAAAAAAAGTCTTTTTTTGCTAATAAGTGGTTTGGACTAATGTCAAATGTTTAAAAGAAATTAAAAAGCATATGCATTTGTAGATTTATAAAAACCTATCTGTTATCTTCTTTGTGACTCACTACATAATTACTCACTCTAAAAAACTTTTGTATTCAACAAGGTAAATTTCACAGATACATTTTAATTCTATTCTAGTCTTTATTTTTACCTTCTATCTAAATCAATAACATTGAAGCTAAAAATATCACCAAAACAAAAATTAGATATTCAGATTGTAGTTAAAAAAATAAATGTAATAACGGCAAACATATTTCTTACTGGGACATTCAAAGTTACCTTTTCACTATAAGCACACTAAAAATACACATACTTATTTGATGGGAAGATTAGATATCAGAATAAAAAGAATAAATTATTTGAACATTTAACAAAAATATGATTTAAGAGCACTTTAACACCAAGAAATACATTTGATTAATGCACTAAGCAAATAATTGCAATTTTACCATATTAAAAAACTATGTATGAACAAATAAAAAATGGGTATAATTTCATGTGCTAAATTCATTACTTTGAAAGGAACATTTCAATAAAACTAAGTTACCAATCTAAATCATTTTCTCTAGCATAGAAAGAGATCAAAATAATACAGTCCAATCATTTCCTAAATGAGTAAAAACGGGGCACTCATGTTCTACAACAAAAGAATTTCTGTAGCCTCCACTCTGGATTGCTCTCTCCCAAATATGCATTTAATAATTCACTGTCATTTTATATAATATTCTATTGCTTTTATTTTGACATAAGTATGCCAGAGGTACAATCTTTTACATATGCCTAGAATATAAGCTTCTCCAGAGGTAATAATATTTAATAAGAAATTCTTATAATTCTAGTTGAAGAATGATATTTATTGACAACTTTTGGAAATCGCCTATTTAATCCATAGGCAATAAATTACAAATCAAAGAATACTTTGATATTTGTCTATTTTCAGTACTTTTAATCACCATTCCTTAAAGAGAGTGTTTTCCTTAAACACGTTCCTGCATCTGAGAATTATATCCCCCTTAGTTCTTTTTTTTCCTGGATTGAAATCTGTATTTTGAAAAAATATATATTTAAAATTTCTAGACTATAGATGATTGTCATTTTTACAATGTAGAAAACTATAGTTGTGAAACTTAACCTTAAAAATTGTTACCATAGTCTACTTCCCTTATAAATGAATATAGACATCCATTTAGTTGCTAGATAATCAAAATAAAAGGCATCTGTATGGTTTGAGTATGAGGTGTACCCTCAAGAGCTCCTATGCTAATGCAAAACATTCAGAGGTGCAATTATGAGAGCTGTAACCTAATTACTTCATCCCAATTTGAATAGACGAACTAGGTGGTAAGAATAGACAAGGAGGGTGTGTGGCTAAAGCAGGTTGGTCACCAGAGGAAGTGCCCTAAAAGGGTTCATCTTTCCTGAAGCCCCTTTCCCTCCCTCTCTCCCTTTCTCTCTGTTTCCTGGCCACCAGGAGCAGATAGCACTCCTCCCTCCATGCCCTGCTGCCTTGGATGTTTTTCCTCACTTTGGACCCAAAGTAATTTGGCAGGCAATGGACTGAACATCTGAAACTGTGAGCCAAAATAAACTAAGTTGTTCTTGTTCGGTATTTTGGTCAGTTATAAAAAGCCAATTAACACAACATTTATTTATTTTTTCTTTTGTAATAAACTGTATAGTCTATCACAATCAGATGAAGTGATGATTTTTAACTGAGATGTCTTTGGCAAAGAAAAGGAAAAGTGATTGTCTTAGAAATAATTTATTTTCATAAAGCAGAAAGACATTTTGCATTGGTACAATATGAATTACCTAAGAGTAGTCTACACAAAGTCAAGTGCTGAAACCAACTTACCCAATAGGCCGAGAAACAACAAGCTCCACTTGTGGTTCAGGTTTGGATTCTAGAATGATGTTGTACACTTCCTCAAATGTTGCTCCTTGCAATAACCTTCCATTCCATTCTAATACTTCATCACCTACAGTATCAGTAATAATAATCTCAGAAAAAAAAACCCTAAGTCCCAAAAAAGTACTCAAAACAAAATCAACCTTTAAAGTTCAATGAACACTACAGAATAAAATCAGCACTGTGGAATAAAACCCACACTAAAAATAATCCCAATGGCATAAAATTTAACGGTCATGTTAATATACTTCACCAAAAGGATATAGTCAGAAGAAAAAAAAGTACACTAAAGTTATCATTTTTTGATTTGTTATGGAAATTTTAATTGTAGACAACAATCAAAATCAATTTTCTCTTTAAAGGTTTTATGACTCTGTACTGTGTGTGTGTGTGTGTGTGCGCGCACACACAAGCGCGTTCACATAACCAAGTACTCTGTTTTCTTTAATGGGTTTCCCTTGTTGAAACTCTTTTGTAAAAATCTTAATAATTACCATTTTATCAAATCCTCTTTAAGGCACTCAAGGATTTCTCCAAGAGTATGAAGTTACATATAGTAACACATTTTAGAAAAAAAAGCATTAATCCATGAACTAGTTTTCCAAACTAAGTTGGAATTTTTTTTCCAGAGAAAAATCAGGTTATGGGAAACAAAATAAATTATTATTAGATATTGATTAGAATATCCACAAGCAAAAAAAATCAGTAAACATAAAAATTCTTTTTTGAGTCATATTAGATTAAACTTTCCATTCATTTGTAAAGCTGTATATCTAAGTGAAATGAGCTCTTTGTCATTGGTCAAATCAGTTCTAAATGAGGACAACTTTTTCTTAACTATTCATAATGAACTTTTTTTTTTGGTGATACTGGAGATTAAACACAGTGATTCGCTACCACTGAGTCACATCCCCAGCCCCTCTCCCCTTTTATTATTATTTTTTATTTTGAAACATTAAGTTGCTGAGACTGGCCTTGAACTTGCAATTCTCTTGCCTCAATCAACTAAGTAGCTGGAAATACAGGTGGGCACCACTGTGCCCAGTGAACATTTAATATTTTAAATATAAATAACCAATAGAAGAAACTTACCTGGTCTAAGATGTCCTACAGTATCAGCTAAACTTCCTTTTTTGACTTTGGTAATAAATGCACAGAGCCGACCTGATTCAGTCATCTTTCCTCCTACAACCTGTTTAAAAGAGGAAGGCACTAAAGTTGTCATATTGTTAAAGTGAATATGCTTGAAAATTCAAGTTAAAAATATTTGGAACAATTTGCAGCTTCTACAACAAATTTAATGTGTTGAAAATCATTTCTTAAATAATTCAGCATTGCTATTAGGAAGTTAAAATATTCCCTAAGAACTAACTCCTTTTACATACTCCAAATATGCTACAATTTAATTTATTATCTGTTAAAATGTCACATACCTTTAAAAATAACTTAACCATTTACAAGTTTTGTCCTTATGATAATTCTTACTTTTGTAATTTCTCAAAACATGTTGTCATAGTACTATATAATTATATTAAAATTTCTTGTTATAAATTTAAAATATTACAATACAAATGTTGTTACTTTTACTTGATTATGATATGCTACAAAATTTTCATTAGTATGTATTTAGGCATGATGATTATGTAAATAATGATGATGGATCTTTCTTGGGAAAATAACAAGGTATACTTAATTTTATCAAAAGCAATGTAAACTTGCAGACCATTTGCAGCCCGCTTTTTCTAAAAATGTTAAGAATACTGCTATGGAAGCATAAGTATACCTGTAAGATACTAGCTGGCCTCTTACAAAATTAATGTTTTGCTTCTCATCAACTGCCATTTAACCAATATATTAACTTCATAGCAGATAAAGCAAATAAAACTAACAAAATTCAACAACTAAATAGTTGTTTTCTCTTCTAAATTGGGTGAAAGATATTTAAATTTAAAACTCACTGATTTATTTTATTCCATGTATTTTTTCCATAATTACACTCAGCTGCAATTCAGTTAATACTTATTTAGTCCTATATTTCAAAATTAAATATAGATGTCTTGTGGGCTTACAAACTCATGTAAATTTTTTTAAAAAATTTGACTTATCAAACTTTAACAGTAATAATTAATTATGCTATCTACAGTTATTATTAGTAGTATTATTGAAATCTTATGGTATGTCAGATACTGTACTAAATGCTTACATACTGCTTCAATAAATTTCATTTTAACAATCTAATAAATAGCATTATCAGCACTGGGAAAATGAGGAATCTAAGACTAAGAGTAGTTGCCAATATTATGTAGCTAGCAACTGCTATCACTGAAATTTAAGCCAAGACTGCCTAACCTCTATACCACACTGCTCTAACACTATACTGGGCAGATGGGGATTTAAATCCCACCATTGTCATCATCTTGTGATCATGGATAAATTATGACATCTCTATAAGCTTGTTTCTCATCTGTTCTAAGTGCTGAATTAGCTGACAGATGTTAAATGCTCAGATGAGTGCCAGTCACACAGCAGCCACCCATAAATGTTACTTGCCCAATTCCACCTACATCCAAATTTTTCTAGTATCTGTTATTATTTATATTCTACAGTACAACTTCTACAGCAATGGCTTAACTCTAAAAATTTACTTGGGTTTCATTTCAGCTTTTAATTGTCTATATTAGATGCATAAAATCAAATAGCTTATTCATTTACCAAGTAATTCCCTGCTATTTAACAGTCAAATATAAAGCAATACTCATATTTAATCTCCTAACATAATTATTTTTATGTTTCCAGACTTTCAACAGCATTCTCTCTCATACACACACATACACATGCACAAAACTTTACTACATTAATACAAAATCATATTCCTGAATAATATACATATTACATTTCCCTATTCTGTATATAGAGTACCTAAATAAAATTATCATTTTAATATAAGATAAACACAGATATAGACTTAAAGAGCAAAATGTAAAGGTAAAATAAGTTTGATCATTGTATATAAGATTCAAATTTATTCTAATCAGATAGTATCATTGTTTTTCAAAATTATATACATGAGTATTATTGTGAAATAATTGCAACTTCTTAAATAATACTTGGAAAATAAAAACTTTGGGATAATGAGTGACAGAATTTGAGGAATCTTGAAAATGTGTGTGTGGGGGGGGGAACTCCCTTAAATTGGTATGAGTTGAAAGTTATTATATTTTTTCCTGATAAATCTGTAAAAGAGTATAGAGCCAAAATCTCACACATTTTATTACATACCTTTAAACCAAGCATTGCTCCTGAGTCTCGAGGTACACTTCCATCTTTTAGTCGCTTATTTAATAAAATACGACCAATTAGGCGATCTCCATCTTTAGATGGTTGCCAGGTCACAGGATGCTAACATATTGCATCAACAAATAAGAAAAATTAATGTTCTTTTATAACAAATTATCTCTAATTGTACAATCTCTCTAAGTTCAGAACTCTAACCCTTTATGATTACACAAACCAATTTACATTCCAAAACCGATTAGAAAAGTTTACTATCTTACCCTTGCAATCTCAATTTTATAATAGAGATTTTTTTGCAAAATTCAATTTTGCTGAATTCTTATGGTTCTCTGAAACAATACTGAAGTAATATAGCTCTACAAAATGTGGAAAAACTTTTAAAATCTTTAACATTTCTATAGGCTGAAGATTAACTAAAAATTAACAGGCTGAAATTTTATGTAGTTGAATCCATTTAAAAATGAGAATCTTCTTAAAACACTTTTGAAACAGATTTTAAAAGACTGTATTACAATAAAATTAAAAGTTTATATCTTATTAAAACATAAAATCTAAAGCCATAATAAAGGTTTTCTTGAATAAGTTTCTTGATTAAAATTCTTAAAAAATACACAAGCTCCAATAACTTTCCAACTGATTTGATTTTACATAAGAGAAACAGCTTTCATTCAAAGATTTGTATTTCTCATTTCATCGAAGTTCACTGGTTCTTTCAAGTCTTTGGCCTATCTAGTAAATTACCTTTAGTAGATAATTCAATGGTATCCATTGCTAAGTAATCTTGAAAATATTAGTAGTTTATTTCTCTCAATGCAGAACTAAGGCCTCTACAAATAATGACCCAGTCCATTATGAATGACAGGGTAAATATCAAAGTAAATGATTTGTGTAATCATAGTATTTTCACAGTCACCTAAAATAGCATGCATATCTTCATGCAAAATTTAGCAGGCAAAACACAAGTTCCATTCAATCACATCTATATGGTAAAAGATTTCAAAAGTTTCACTATACTAAAAGCAAAAATAATAAATATCAAAGCAGATGGCAATGGCTCTAATACTAATTAATAATACATTAAAATGCTGTGTTGATAAAACAAAAGAGCAAAATGACAGTGAAAGGGAAAAAAGAAAAACAACTTTTTCTGTGCAAATAGACCCAATTATCTGCCTTTTGCCTGGGATTCAAACTATTAAAATTTAATTTTCATCCCAAGGAAAATATATAGAAGCAATTAAATAAGCCAATCCAAACAATTGTTCATTATTTGTGGCTTATAATAACATTACAAAATTCTCTCATCCGACCATAGACAAACCATTCCTTTGTTCCTAAGTTTTATTTTCAGTTACTTATTTTTTGGTATGCTGTCAAACAATAAAAACAGCAAAGCAAGCAAGAGGTTTTTTTTGGTTGGTTTGTTTGGTTTTATTTTGTTTTTCTTTTCTGCACCTTAAGAAATGCTACATTGACCCTTGAAATGCCCTGTCCTTTTAGTATGTTCTGTTTTAATGAGTGACAGAGAGCAAACGAAGACCAAATGAGCAGGTTAAAAGGCAGGCTCCACAATCTCAGTACCTTATCACTATGGCTATGCTCCTCGTTAAGGGTTGTGCTACTACAGGTATCTACCCCAGAGTCCTTAATCTGAGGTTCAGACCATTCCAAATCCTCTTCCAAAGAGTGGCCACCAAAGTACATCATTTTCTTTTGTCTCTCAGACCTGGTGTTAGAGTCCGACAAAACTGCCTGCTCACTAGTTTTTCTTTTTCCCTTTTGACTGTCCCCTACAGGTATGGGATAAAAAAAAATACAAAAAAGAAAACATGCAAAGGTATAAATAAAAAGGAAAAGTGAAATGATAACGGAAATTAAATAGTAAGGCTCCACATGTCTCACCAAAGACATTGGGGAAGCCTCACTGCTATGCCAAGACGTATGGTCCAACCAGTTGTAATCCATGTCTCCTGTGAGAGTCAGACAGATAAGAGTGCAGTAAAGGAGACGGCGGAAAAAAAGGACAGACAGAGACATTATAAACATATTAATCTGTGTGATCCTGTCTGGTTTCAGGAACTTTAGCACTCATTACATACACCAAGAGAAAGCTAAGATTTCAAGTGAATAAAATTTATAGAATGCAGAATACAAAGTTTATGTACTCTGGACAGACCCTACAAAACAAAGCCCCGCAAGAAGAAAAAAGGCTAATAATAAACAAGAATAGAAACAAAACAAAAAAAAAATGGATATTCTGAAAAAGAGACTCTTGGCTATATCTGTTTCTTGTGCTATTTTCCCCCATACTGACCTAAAGACATGAGTTTATTCTCCAAAGACTAATGATCATTTAAAAAAAAAATTAAACAGTGGTTTGCCAATAACTACCATTTCAAAATCCAAATAATTAAATGTTGTTCCTTGAATGCAGTATCATATTCTATATAATAGTGAAACCTCCTCAAAAATTTGAGTGTTTAAAAAATTGGTTACACAAAAGATTGAACTTATAATAGTTAAAATGAAATAAACTACTTAAATATCATGAATTACTTAATATTACTTTGAAATAACTCATCAACTTTTTTCAGAAATTGTATCCTTGTAAAAAGTACATTTTTTAAAAAATCTTTTTGTCAGATAATTTTTGTAACTGGCAACTAAAAATGAAAATTCATTTTACGAATTTAATGTGTTTCTTATTTGTCATATTTGAAAGAACTTTTAAGGCTGTATATAAACATATGTTTTGAAACTTTATTTATACTTTGATTTATTTAAAAATATTTACTGCCTTCACTTTCTATTTATTGTGCTAAACTCTAGTGTGAGGGGTAAAACAAAGAAACATGCTTACAAAACATTTAAACACAATAAATTATCAGTTCAAATAGGAAAAAAACAAAATCCTATGTGAAGGTATAATAAGGTCTAATTGATATTCTGGCGTTACAAAACACCTCTAATGTAAAGAAGTTTAGGATGAGAACAGAAAGATGTGACCTAATGGATGTAAGGAAATAGATGAAAAATGGAGGAAAGAGCATTCAAGGAAAAACTAACATTAGCTACTGTAAAAGAATGGAAGAAACACCAGTGTGCCTAAACCAAAAAGAATGAGAGGAAGAATATCATGCTAAATAAAACTGGTAAGGCTGCACTTAACAGATAGGTACTTCTATGCCATGTTAAAGATTATAAATTTCAATCATTGAAGGATTTTAAGCAAAATTGGTACATGATCTGATTTACGCTTTAAAGGGTATGGAGGTAAGAAGGATAGTAGAATGAATTGGACACTATTACCCTATGTGCATATATGACTACATGACCAGTATAATTCCACATCATTTATAACTAGAAGAATGAGAAGTTATACTCCATTTTTAAAAAGTTACAAACCAGGCACGGAGGTGAATGTCTGTAATCCCAACAGCTCAGGAGGCTGAGGAAGAAGGTTCGCAACTTCAAAGCCAGCCTCAGCAAAAGCGAGGCACTAAGCAACTCAGTGAGACCCTACCTCTAAATAATCTACAAAAGAGGACTGGGGATGTGGCTCAGTGGTTGAGTACACCTGAGTTCAATCTCCAGTTAAAAAAAAAAAATTATTTTAAATGTGAATGGTGTGGGGGGGGGTGTATATTTTAACGGGTAATTCTAAGTATATCTGTATAGAGACTAGAATGGAAGAAACCAAAAGTTAAAAGGCATTTGTAGTGGTCCCTGGGAAACATGATTATAACCTGAACAAAGGTGATGGCAGTACACATGGTTAAAAGATAAATAAAAAATGAGAGGGTATTGAGGAATTTAGGGGTAGAAATACAATGCTAAAAAAGATTGAAGAGGGGCTGGAGTGGTAGAGCACTTGCCTAGCAAGTGTGAGGCACCGGGTTCAATCCTCAGCATCATATAAAACAAATAAATAAAATAAAGGTATTGTGTCCATCTACAACTAATATATACTATATGTGTGTGTATTCTTTTTTTAATCAAGATTCACTCACAGGTTTCTGAACATTAACAACTGAGTCAAAGAAAAGAGAATTTATGAGATGGAGAACATAAAGAACAGCCTTTTTGTTAGGGACAAGGTAGAAGGGATTACTCTATTTCATTGAACCTTACAGTAAGGCTTATAAATTTCAAGACACTAAAATGCATAACTACAATATTTGATTCTGGGTAAATAATTGAAATGTTCATAAGTATTCAAGTAGGCATGTAGAAAGCAATTAATCAAGCTGTAATAAACCTTAGAAAGCAGTTTTAATCTTGAGACACATAAACTGAAAATTATTATCTTATAGACAGGATTGAGACCATTTAGGAATAGAAGGTAAAAGAATGTGTGAATACCCAGACTAACTCCAAAACTTACAGTTTGATTTAAGAAAACATTAAATTGAGAAAGAGCATGTAGAGAATGAAAGGGGGAAGAAAGGAGATGAAGAAAAGTCTCCAAACCAAAAAGAAGAGTTTCCTAAAAGGAAAGAGAAATTGACAATATTGATAGGTTTCAACACATCAGATAAGATGAGGAAATGAAAGTCTGCATTAGATTTTGCAACATGAAGATTAGGGCAGATGTTATAAAGAATAGTTAGATAAAATGATAAAAATTAAAATCAGACTGAAATAATTGAGGAACCAAAGGAAGTGAGGAAGTAGAAGATTTCTATGTGGATGAACAGTTCTCAAAGTAAAATCCCCAAAGTAGCATCATCAGCATCATCTGTAAACATTCTAGAAAAGCAAATTATTGACCATCACCCCCAGTGAATCAGAAACTATTAGGGGGGCTGAGCAATCTATGTTTTAACAAGGCTTCCAAATGATGACCGCAATAAAGATTGAGAGCCACTGGAGACAATTAAAAGTTTCTTTGTGAAGGAGAATGAAACTATATTATCTAACATATATAAACATATACTAACATATACAAAACATATACAAATATACAGAAAACATATACAAACTTACACAAAATACAATTTGTATATGAACCACATTCTTTAACCTATGAAATCAGAGACGTGCCTCTCAACCTTTTCATGGTACAAATAATCCGAATTTTAGTACAACACTCTGAAGTAAATGAAGATGACCAGCCCAGAGGATACTTATGCTCCTTCCTGGATGGCCACTCAAAAAACTGAGAGTTGGGGCTAGGGTGGTGGCTCAGTGGTAGAGCTCTCGCCTAGCACGTACAAAGCCCTGGGTTCAATCCTCAGCACGTCATAAAAATAAATAAAATAAAGGTATTGTGTCCAACTACAACTAAAAAATATTTTTTTAAAAAACTCAGAGTATTTTTATCTCAGGAAATCTGTTGCCTTTTCAAAATGTGTATTGTTCCACAACAAGGCATTGATAAATCAGTGAAATAGAGAGAAAAGCAGGATAAGCCTGTAAATAAAACTCTTATATAATTTATATGAAGGTTAAAGAACTCAGCTCACAATCTTTCTTCTCCTGCTTATGCTTGTGACCTACTAAAAAGGCAAAAATGTGGTTATTTTCTCTGTAAATAAACAAACTGCATAACCATTTGTAGCTAAAGCAAAACCATCTGATTGACCTTTAAAAAAGATGTCATATATGATAGGCACTGAATAAACACTTATAGAATGAATAAAAATTAGTGTTGCTATAAAAATTACATAATCAATGTAAATTACATAGAAAATAATTTTAAACAATCAGGACAATTAATTTGTAAATAATTGTATAATTATATACATATATTATATAATAATTATATTGTATAGCTTCAAAGGGCAGAATTAAGATAATATCTTTCTTTAATACAAAAATGTATTTCTGGGATTTCCAGTTCTAGAACAAAACTAAAACACACACACACACACACACACACAAATGAAAGGGAAATTTTAAAACTAAAAAATAATTGAAATTTAAAATAAAATGTATGGGACGTACTGTAGAATGGAAAGGATAGAGGAATGACTCAATTATTGATTTTAAAGGTAGAGTAATAAAACTCACCTGATCCAAAAACAGACTAAAACTAAATAAAATCACTCATTTTGAAATGCAAAATAAAATAGAATGAATGGAGCCTCAAGGACCTTAGAGACTATAGCAAAAAGATTTCACATTCATATCATGTGTCCCCAGAAAGAGAGGAGAAAATGAATGGGCTAAAAAGTATTCAAAGAAATAACAACTGGGAAATCTCTCAAATTTGGCAAAAGATAGAAGATTTCAGATTCAAGACATCTGTAATCCCAGAAGCCCTGGAGGCTGAGGCAGGAATACGCAAGTCCAAAGCCAGGCTCAGCAAAAGCAAGGTGCTAAGGAATTCAGTGAGACCCTGTCTCTAAATAAAAATACAAAATAGGGCTGGGGATGTGGCTCAGTGGTTGAGTACCCCTGAGTTCAATTACCAGGAAGAGGAGGAGGAGGAGGAGGAGGAGGAGAAAGTAATAGTAGTAGTAGTAGTAGTAGTAGTAGTAGTAGTAGGTAGTAGTAGTAGTAGTAGTAGTAGTTACATAAACCAGAAGAACACAAAGAAATCTGCATGAAGATATATCATTATAAAATGAAAAATAACAAAAGAAAATCTTAAAAGGAGTGAGAAAAAACACCTTACCTAACGGGAAAAATAGTTTTATGCAAGACAGCAGATTTCTCATCAGAAACAATGGAGGTCAGAGGAAGTAGCACAATGTTTTAATTGCTGAAATAAAATGAATATTAACCTAAATTCTAAATATGATGAAATTATCTTTCAAGAATGAAAAACATTCTCAAACAAAAGAAT